AATTTAGCTATTCATAATAGTATGTAAAACTACAATACTAAAAATCATAACCAACAATGAAAAATAGGAAGAGGAAGGAAAAACTCGTTGAAGAATTCCCCGCCTTGCTCCTATTGTGTTCTTGACTCCTTAGGTCGAATCCTCGGTCTCCTTAGCCTCCTTAGGTCTAATTTTTATGTCAAAAGTGTGTCCCACCCTTAAAAATACCGTTTTTCCATTTATATATACCAAGTAGGGTCGGGCCCAAACAATTATACCTTCCCCTACGCGAAAAAGGACAATATTTCACGTTTGGACTGCCGCGGTCAACCGCGGTATATGGCAGGTATACTGCCTCAGCCCACCTCAGCTCCGCGGTCGCGGTTTCGACCGTGCTTTTCACCCTGTTCCGTTTGGAATTTGAAAAAACGTAAAACATGAAAGTTGTAGCCCTTTGAGTTAGCTTTCCAACCATATATTGTGGAGCCCAAATGGAGTTTTGAGCAAAAAGTTATGTGCATTTTACTAGACAGTACGCAATATGCCTACTCGAGTCTTCGTTTTGTTGCTTTATCATCCGTTGATCCCCGAATACGATCCCAGCTTAATTCCTTGGGCTTTTACTCAGACTTCAAAGCTCCAAATCACTTGAATTCATTCCATAACATCTATATAGCTCGAAATCACTCCTACAAGGCATAAAACACACCGTTAGTGCAAAACACTAGCGATTAAAGCGCAAACTCAACTAAAGTGCAGTAAATTAGAGTGTAATAATCGACTAAAATACGCAATTATAGCCTATCATCAAGGACAAAAGGATTCATTGACTTAATTTTAGCATTTGGTGACGTTTCCGGCTTTCCCTTGTGTGAATATTCTCCCAATCAATATTGCGTAATTAGGAAGTTCATATTTTGGTAAAAGATGAACACAAGTGATGACTGCTGTGAGTTTCCTGGAAATACCTCTGACAGCTTAACATCTAGTAATGAGCTTGTGTTAATCCAGACATGGATTCGACTTGCCTTAGCTATTTACTTTCATGGGAATCACGAGATCAAAGAAAGTCTGAAATCAGAAAATGAATGATGCCACTAAAATGCTTTAGTAATGCTAAAAGTAGGTATAGAATGCTCCTATTATGGTATACCTATTTAAACATGAGAACTGTAACTGATAATTTATGTTATTCCAAGAATTAAATGGAGGATAGAGGAGCGGGCCCATTATCCACCGAGTTTCGAACGGTGTGCCATTGGCCCTTGAAATTCCTCATTTATAAAGAAAAGAAATAAATGGGGTACATAATTTTTCTAAATATACTTTGAGGGGAAAATAGTCATTTTGAGCTACTCGGCTGCCCAGCCATTAGTTGAAATCCTAATTGCAGTTATCCTTTAAATTCATCCTAGTAACCATCTGGTACCCTGTTAACAATATGCCGTTTGATATGCAGATACTATACTGATCCTTCTGGCACTTTCTGGCAATGCAATGCAAAAGCCATTGGTTCTGGTTCAGAAGGTGCTGACAGCTCTTTGCAGGAGCAATTCAACAAGGTATAAGAATTAACTACTTTATTTTCTACTTAACCTGCCATACCTATGTAGAGTCAGCCTATGGTTCTTGTTTTTCAATATTTGATGTTATTAAGCACCTATAATCCCAAACCACCTCCCCCTCGAGAAAACGAAGTATAAAATCAACGAGAATCTACTATAACTAGAGTGGTAGGTCAGCTATTTCTGGAACCTAGTAATTGGCTTGATATGGTTTTGCAAGCTGATCTGAAGTGCATTATTTGCTATTCTACAGGACCTCACCCTTAAGGAGGCTGAAACAATTGCACTGTCAATTCTAAAGCAAGTGATGGAAGAGAAGGTAAGCTCCATGATAATACTGTATCTTTATTCTGATCTGTGTATTCTACTACTATTAACTGAAAATCACCTTTTATTCGATTCCAGGTGACTCCCAATAATGTTGATATTGCTAGGGTATCTCCAACTTATCATCTCTACTCGCCTTCTGAGGTGGAAACTGTTATCAGCCGCCTATAAGAAGAAAGCTCTCTTGTTACGCTTGTTACCCATTTCTCTATTATGGGCAATCTTTACTTCCAACTGTTTTAGAATTTGTGGATTGTATTGCCCTTTCTAGCATGTTAAATTATTAGCATTCTGACTCATAGACAAATGGTCAATCCCTTTACGTTGCTTGGAAATTCCCTAGGGTGGGATGGATTGTTTTCTGACGAGGTCTAAGATTCAGGTATGGTTGAGAAGATACGTTTTCCATAGAAAGGCTTGAGTTACTTTCTATGCAATATTGTGTCTGACGAAATGCTTAAAACTCCCCTAGATGTGTCTGTTACCTAAAGAAAAATATGTTATTAATGGCCTTTTGTTATGTGGCTCTTCAAGCGAGGGAATTCTATTATTCCTTAGAATGAGTTTGTATTCAACACAGAAGCTCATCCTTTGCCCAATCAAATGAATTTCTTGAAGTTAATGATGCTTTGATTGCAAGAATGATTTGTTAACAAATGGAATTAGAATGTGAGCTGAAAAAGTGGAACCAATTAGATTAAAATGTTGGTGGCTGAAGTTTCATCTGAAGCTCAATGTTCATCTTATTATGGAGAGCAATCGAAATGGCTACAATCTTGTAAGGTGTTAGTGTTGTAGTTTTTCAATGGAACAACTTGATAGATTGTCATTCTCCAGTAGTACTTGGCAGACAATCTTGTAAATTTTTAAGTGATACTTAAAATTTATTTCTCCCTGATTCATGTTGCCTGACATTTATGTAACGAGATCAATATAAGAACATCAGCCTTTCGCATTGAATTATCACGTCACATTAGTTGAAAGAAGATACAAATGATCACCATCTCTAATGACATCTACCTCATCTATTTCTACATTTTCTGCATTTACAACTTTCTTGATATTGTACTCCCCAAATCTCTCACCTGCAGTTACACAAGATTGCCAGGTTAGTTGCTTGACCAATAGTATCATGAAGGACTACTGCACACTGAAATGATTTAGTCATTTTTGGTCATATTAGTAATTACTTAGGTTCCTTAACTTTAAGATTATGTAACTATATATAGTAAGGTGAAAGAATCAATCCTAATCCTCCCACCCCCTTATAGAAAAAAGGGGAAAAATCATCTCCCATTTTTGTATAAGTTCTTGGGCTCAGTCATGTTAGCGGGTGAAATCATGGATAACATGATTCAAATCTCAATGAAGAGCCAAAAAAATAAAAAGAAAAGAAAAACTATTAGGTGATTTCTTTCCATCTGCCTAAGCCTTGGTAGGTAGAGTTACTCAGTATATATGCTGATGGGAGGTAGCAAGTACCTGTTGAATAATGGAGGTGTAAAATGGAGGTGTAAATTTAGCTAGCCCAGACATCACTAAGGGTGTGTTTGGTATAACGGAAAATGTTTTCCGTGGAAAATGTTTTCCAAGAAAATATTTTTTTGGAAAACAAGTAGTAATCTTATTCATTTTTCGGTGTTTGGTACGCAAATTAAGGAAAATGACTTCTCAAGAGTATTCATAAATAATTTAGATATAATAAACATGAAGCCATAAACTTTCAAACCAACAACCTTCCGAACCCACAAATTTCATAAACTTTCGAACTGCTAAATTTTCAAAACCGCAGAATTTCGAACCCGTAAACTTTATAATTTCTAAACCCGTAAACTTCCAAACACATAAACCT